GCGAATACCGAGAGGGGAGGTTCGGAGGAAAAGGGAGAAGGTGCTGGAGATGATGGGTCGGGTGATGTATAGGAAGCACGGGAGCTCGTTTGGGTTGAGGAGTAAGAAGGACGCGTTTGATATTGCGGTCGAGGGGGTTCTGCAGAGGATCAAGTCGAGAACTCGAGAGCTTGGGCTGCCTTAAGCTAGAATGAGGTTTTTTTTTTTGTCTATTTGTGTGTGTGTGGTTTTTTGTGTTTCTCATTTGTGTAGTTATAACAGTGATGAGCCAATTCTTTTGTACAATTTATTGTCCGAAAAGAGAACAAGGTTTGAATAGAACTTTCGAGTCTGATTATATCGTCTGTCTAACAAACGGGAAAGAACATTCGATTTGACCTGCTTGAATGAGCTGATCTGTTTTTGTAGTTATGGACATCAACAAAGAATAATATCCACACAATGTCATTCGAGACAACCGACTGATGCAGTTTATCCTTATATCTGTTTGACGATCTATACACTGTACTAGCGACTCTGTGTTTCGCTATTGCACGGGTATTTCAAGATGGACATCATGTGATTGATCTACATGAATTCATTTCCGGTTGCTAAATGTCAGATCGTTCTCCAATATTCTTTGTTTTTGAAATGCAAAACACGTTTTTCTGTATCGATTTTTCCGACTCTTATATTGCTTTCCTCCCAGCTAGGTAGACAGACATGATCGTGCTATCATCATATACATGATGTTTGTATAGGGAATTTACAACATGATTCAAACTCAGAAAGAAATATAATGTGGACTACCATTTAACATTTGGCATTTTAGCAAAAACATTGCTGTTTCCCTTTCCACAGAACAGAAGTCGCAGTGCACTAGGAATGCCAAACTTTATATAAAATTATGTTGTCATTTTATATTCAACAAGCACCAGTGGTCTAGTGGTAGAATAGTACCCTGCCACGGTACAGACCCGGGTTCGATTCCCGGCTGGTGCATATAATTTTTACCTTCCATCACCCTTTTGTTTTTTCTTTAACACGTGCATATGTTTTTTTTCCTTTCTGTCACCTTTTTGTTTTTTCTATAAACGCATGAGGTATTTGTACGGTTTTGTATGAAGTCAACACTTGGCTCCACAGTGGATCCAACAAATAAACATACCATATTTTCTAATTACTTAAATAACATTAATATAAAGTTCCTTTAAATTTGATTCATCTATTTAACAAAAGCAATATATTTTCTTTTCATTTCAAAACCTAATTCCAATTTTATTCAGTCGAGACTCCAGTTTTCACTCCCAAAATACACTTCAAGGGGTATTTTTATTCACATTGTGTGATGAATTGACCAACCTAATGGTTTAAACTCTCTTACACAATAATTTGCGTAACATTATTATACATTATATCAGAATAACATCCTTATAAGAATTCAGACAGTGTTTCTATACAGAGACCTCTGGAGTGTGTTGTTTGAAGTCTTGACGAGCAAGTTGGATCAAATGTTGGTCTTCCCATTGGTCACGATAAGTCTCGGGTGTGTCCCTCTTTCTCCTCCCGGTCACGAAATACATTTCCTTTCTCCATTCTTCTGTTGGATGTGAGCCGCTCTTGGCAGCCAACCAATCGTCATACTCAAACTGCACGTGAGAAATTCAATGCCTTCGAATGTAAACATTGAAAAATGGAAATGGTGGCCTAAAATGTTATAATAAAGTCTGTAGAAATATAGCCAAAACATGATATGATGCACGATTCACATGGTTAAGTTGAAAGGCCACATCAAAAAAATGATATCCATCAAGAAACAGAGATATACGACAAAAATTGTTCTCGAAGTGAATTAATCCTGAGATTTGGGCTAAATAATAATAATAATGATAAAAGTCAGATCAGACCTGATAATTACAGCAAGTCCGAGACCTGAATTCCGATACCAAAAACAGCAAAATAGTTTCTGATTCTTTATTTTATGAACACGGCACTTTTAAATTATAGTTGAGAGTAACAAATTTACCTGAGATTCGCCCATTTGATGAGTGTACCGCACGGGGATGCCTGATGCTTCCAGTGACGAGTAAAAAGCTTCAATATCAGCCATCATTTCCTTTGTGGATTCAAGGGGAACTCGTCCGGATAAAACTGCAGCAATCTATTTGCTCTGGAATTCAAACAAGGGAAAAGGTACAACCTGGAAAATTAAAATGAAAAAAAAAAAAAAATTCATACATTGTTCTGAATATCAATACATTATATGCAAAAAAAAAAAAAAAGACCTTCCATGGCAAGCCAACAAATGAAAGCCATGGCGCAAAGGTGGGAGGGATAATGTGTTTATAAAGTGGGCCCACACGATTGTCTTCCACAGTCACGATGCCATTTGTTTCAAGAAAAGGAAAATGATACTTGTACCTACAAAGGGAACACATTTGTTCATAACGGATGCTTTCTCCATTTTAATTCAGTTTTCGAGATAAATATAAGCATTTTAGTTTTCACTAACTCACCCGGTGCAGTGAAGGATCACTTCTGCATAGATTGCATTTCCATCTTGGAAAGTGACTGTACCATCTTTATGAACTCTTTCGATCTGTGTGTGTTCATGTACGAACATTATACTGAAATTTCCCTAGTGATGGAAACTATCTATATTTCAATGAACTTTACCATGGGATGTAGCCAAATTTTATCGTGCCCAGACAATTTTCCAGTATCTAGAGTCTGGAATGATCGAGATGCAATATGTACTTCTTTGGCAACTTTAGCAATATCACGGGAGATATCATCAGCACTTGCTGAACTCCCAATTAGCACGACAACCTGCAAAATAACAGAAAATGATCTGAATAATTTGACACTGATGATCTATATACAAACTCCCATACCATCGAACTCATTAACACTCGGAATGTACCATGACTCGAGTGTTCATAATGCCAGTAAAGCACTATACCATGACTTGAGTATGCATAGTGGCAATAAAGCACTATCTCTGTTTGCAACTACTGTTGATTCATTTACAGTATTTTTAATGCATTTTCAAAGTTAATTTCAAAATTCTGTTGCTCCTCAAACTTGCCAATGCAAATATTTCAAAGTGGCATGCCCAGTATGACACCTTTTTCTTTCTTATATTTCCATATTCTAGTGACATATAACAATCGATTCAGATGCAAGCTTTTAGGAAGGAAAAATAAAAATGCACCTGGCATGGCACATACTTGATTATGAAAGGGATCAGGAACGCGATAGTTGTGGCTATGAATCTGTTTCCCTGGCCACTCATCAATTCCTAAATGTCATAGGACAATACTTTAGAACTATCCACATGTCAAGCAATGTTTTAGATAGTTTACTTTCAAAATGACATCAAAAGAGAGCATTTCAGCAGCAAGAAAGTAACTGGACATTAACAGTGCCAAACTTAAAAGCTTGGAGAACACGGTTTACAAATTATAGAGTATGGTGGACAATACAAATTAAACAATTTTTTTCTCAGTCAATGAGGCATTTCAGATGCAAGAAAATACCCCAGAACATATGTTAAAAGCAGTCATTCCTGCAGTGTATTACCCATACAACTGAATGCAATATTGCACAATGCATTTCAGATGAAATAAACTACTGCAGAATATATGTTATAGAGGCAAATGGGGCAGTGTAGTACTTTAACAACCGAATGCATAGATCGTATACACAACAAAGTCTCTCGATTCTAATTTACCTACAGAATATTTATACACAGTTAGCAATTTTCTTAGTTAAGAAGAGGAAGGAGCCCAACCATGCTTCCATAACCATATGCTGATCCTAACTATTCAACTTTTTTCAGCTGATGAACATAAGCACCTTCATTTGTGCATTCATTATAGACTTGAAATAAATCTATAGTCACCAGATCTTCATATCAAAAAGTAAAAAAATCTACTTTCTATAGGAAGACTATACAGACACAAATTTTTTAGCAGTAATTACTCAACAAAGACAAGCTCAACAGCAAAATTACACATAAAGCTCCGATTTTTTTGGCCGCCAACAGACAAGAAAATATGAACTGGGCTAGAAGACGTTACCAGGTATATCTGCAACACGGGGCTCCGTATAATGCCCGTTGCAGACTACCACGGCGTCGTACACCTCATCGTATCCGTCTTCCCCATTCCCAATTATCGATCTCACCGACCATTTCCGACCCTCGGCCAACCCCACATGCGACACCTCACTCCCGAACCTAACCAACTCACCGAGCCTAAACTCGTCGGCAAAATCTCTCAAATACTCCAACGCCTCACCGTGACCCGGAAACCTCCTCGGATCTCTCCCGGGCTTGGCGCTCGCCACGAACGGGTAGGCCCGGAAGCCCATGACCTCCCGGGGCAGGTTCGTCCGCAGCGAGGCGTAGAGGCTGGAGTGGATGACTTTCCGGGTCGGATCGACTCCCATTAGGTCGGCCTCTGTTTCGGGTGTCGGCCTCTGTTTCGGGTGTGTAGGCCCAGGTCCCCCCAATCTGGGTTGCCCGCTCGTAGACGACGACGGTATGGCCTTCTTTGCGAAGTTCCAAGGCGGTAGAGAGGCCGGCGGCGCCGGCACCGATGACAGCGACGGTTCTTGAAACAAGATGAGGCTTGGCCGGGGGAGGGATGGGGACCGACGGGGTCGGTTTGTGAATTGTCATATCGCCAAATAAAGCCTTCTGCATTATTTGATAGGATTTTCGTTTTCTTTTTCTATAAAGGTCACAAAAAGTAAATAATATATATAAGTTTGGAAAAGATAATAAAAGATGGCAAATAATCATAGAAAATTATAAATGCGTAAGTGGATAATTAAATACGCAAATAATCTCGAGCTGCGGCTTCTAGCTGTTGCTTGAGAGGGAGAAGGTTTGCTATGTTTTGCGCCTCACCGCCCTGGCTCCCACCGTTTCTGGCTGTCAATTAGTCATGTTGTCTCCAGACTCTATTCGCCGATTGTTGTCTCCTGACTGATGCTTATTTATGTTTAGATTGGGCAACCCGACTGGCCTTTAGCTGCTATCCCAGTTGATTTGGGTGGCCCTGTAGCCGCTGATCGGGTTGGCCCGTTGCCGTTGGGTCGTCCTCCGAGTGAAGCGGGTGATGGTCTCCTCTGGTGCAGCACTTTGAGCCGAACCCTTGGTGCCTCTTCTTTCCTCGTTCGGTGACTTCGAGTGCTCAGTGGTGGATCAAGGCTTGCCTTTTTACCGGTTCTAGCTAGTCCTTCGCTGGAGTTTTTAGTTATGAAGTCCTTTTCTGTAGCTCTTTAGGTCTTGTGCGTGGGTCGTTTCTCTCGTAGTTTGGTTCGTGTGCTTGGCCGTGGTTCGGTTGCGGGTTGTTGGTATTGAGTAGGGGAGGTCTTAGTTTATATGTATTTTAGGTGTAAGTTTAGTTGTTTTTGTTAGCCCTCCACTTGTTGGAGTAGATTGTCCACTAGTTGGACTAGTATTAACCCGTGTGGGTCTTTTAGTATTCACCCCATGTGGTCTTTTGTTGCTTCTGTGTGGGATTAGTCCAACTTACGGTTTTCAGGCCTTGAAGCACTGTCGGCAACTTGGTACCCTCTTTCTTGTGTGTAGTTGTAATTTAGGATACTTGTATTAGTGCTCTTCCTTGACTCTACCGTATGGTGGGTTAATTGGGCTAGTTATCATGCGTTCTTATCTTGTAAATTTCTCTTTTTGAGGGCTTTGAGTAATACAATCTATCGTTTCGAAAAAAAAAAAAAGATAATTAAAAGTATTTATATATCTATTTATATACTAAATATTATATTGAGGAGTTCGTAAAGAAAATTTGAGATGAGTAATTACTAATTAATGTATTTTTTAGTTGGTGAGTGGAAAATGTATTTATTGTATTATATTATTCGTTTATTAACAAAACTAATAAAACCACAAAACTTAATATAAAGAAATCAACTCAATTCAAGAGTCTAGATATAGAGATAAAAACACACAAAAACAGCTGCACTGAGACGTACAACACAACGGAGGCAAGCTTGCGAGGTGAAAAAAAATTAGAATAATTTTGCAGCTACAAAAAGGATCGTCGGTCTGATTCCTTGGTTTTTTTGAATAATTTGATCATTCTTTTATATTTATGAGTTCTTTAATTTATGCTCATCTTCATAATTTTTTATAAAAATGCTATAAATACATAATATTGTATATAAGAGTGTACATAAAACTCACATTGAGTGAGACCTACAAAAAAAATCAAAAATCAAATGGACTCCACTCAATGTGAGTATTATGTACACCTCTATGTACATTTATTATATGCTTTTAGTATTTTCCTTTTAATTATTCATCCTTTTTTATGGAATTGGGGTTTAAAACATATATGTATTTATTCATCATTCTTATATGTAGTGATTACTAATCTATTAGCACATAGTGTGCATTTTCAGCTATGGTTATCATTGTATGTTTGGTTCAAAGGAGGGGAGGAGAAGAAATTTAATGGAAGGGAGGGGAGGGAGGGGAAGGGAGGGAAAATAATTTATCTTGTTTGGATAGATTTTGTAGGAGGGGAGGTGAAGGAAATGATTAACCTTGTTTGGTTAGAAGATGGAAGGGGAGGGAAAATAATGTTAGAATGACAAATATATCCTTAATGATGTAAGGAACAAAAAAAATAAATAATTCACAATAAAGTCAAAAGAGTAATTTGTTGTTAAAATATTTCCTACCCTCCAAATTCCCTCACTTTTAGAGGGGAGCACATTTTCCCTTGGAGGAGGGAATTGAAGGGAAAATTTAAACCCCTCCCCCTTACAAAAAGTTGAACCAAATAAGGGGAAATAAATTTTTTCCTTCCCTCCCTTCCCCTCCCCTCCGTTTCCCCCGAACTAAACATAGGTGACCTGCTCTGATACCACTTGTTAGAATTTCAGGTACGTAATATCCAGATTTCACGTGAAGTCGAAAATTAAAAGTACGCAGCGGAAAATAAATAACACGAAAGGTTAAAAATTTAGCCTGCAAGTAAAATACTTGTAGACTAAGGCCTCATGACAAAATTCCACTAGAACAAATTAATCACAAAGCTTTTCAAACAATTCCAACACGTCTAGTGAACTACGAAAAATACAAAACGCGAGTTGGACACAAGATATAAAAGAAAGCAAGCCCGATAAATTTTGTTCGATCCGTTGATCCACACGGTGCTTCCTTGAAAATTAAATCAAGCTTGCACTAAGATCTCAAAAGCCTTGCGACAAAATCAATTGTGTGGTGTTAGATTTGTTCTCAATTTCCCACGCCTGCTTCTTTTATTTTTCAAGGAGTAGAAATTGCTTGCCAAGGAAAAAACAATATATATTGCTCCTCTCTTCTAAACGCACGTCTACTGCCCCCCATTACGCCAAGGAAAATTCTCCTATTTGTTCCCGAGATATAAATTCCATCCTTATCCAATTAAGAATCCTATTAAGAAAAGGAAACCATATAATAATAATCTTCTACCAAAAATAAAATAACTAATAAACATATATATATAAACAAAAATTAATCAGAAAAGCAAAATAAAAAATTAATCAAAAATATGATTTAACATCTCCTTCCATAGATAAACTCCTCAATGGTGGGAATTGCTACTGCTGCACGAAGAAGGATATGTGAGGGCAGGCTGTTGGTATGTGTCAGTGGTTGTTGTAGCGAGGTGATCGGAATTGATGCACATGGTCGGAGATGGTGGCTTTGTTGGTTGCCGAAAATGGTTGTTTCTGCTCTCAGACGTGAACTGAGGCCTGAGGCAGGGGCAGACGCAGACATTACGGACAATAGGGGCATAGATCCCCGACAACAACGCCAGTTTGTTGTAAATATTTTCCGGAGTTAAATCAAAAGATTCGACACCGGGTCGTGTCTCTCGAGGAAGGTCAGCCGGATTATTGTGTACGATTATTCAAACACGAAAAGAAATAAAAGAAATAAAATTCCTAAACATTCTAATTCAAATAATTGGATTGGTTTTCAATTATCAACTACTGTAAATAATTAAATTAAACAGTAAAAGTAGCAAGCAAAGACGAAGAACAAATAGGATTTAATGAGCTAAGGAGTCGGGGATATCCGTTTTGACTCGAGAATGCAATTGATGGGCAAGCGATTGTTCGGTTAAGTGATTTGATTAACTTATCGTTCAAGTTTTCATTCTCAATAACTTTTCGTAACAAGAGAACAAGCTTAAACAACAAATTAACAATTCAATTAACGCCTAGGCAATACAGTTACGAACAAGCCTAGTTCATACGAGTCTATTTCGACCGACTCCTCCCCTTTCGGTTCAAAAAGTCGATTAAAGAAGACTAGAAGGTGATTAATCAACTAGTCATTTAGAATTTCATAAAAATCATGCATGAATTAAACGAACTCAATTAAAATAATTGGACGTTGAAGTGTCACCCTTCAACAATTTGCAAAACTCGAGCCTGATAATCGAAAAACCCTAGAAAAAGAGCAACTTGTACAAATTGAAAAATCTCAAGCCCGAAAAGCACAATCGAAATCAAAACATCATCCCCTATTCCCTAGCATATGAATTTAGCTACGCATAATCGAATCAATAATCATAATCATCACAATCGAAAAATCCATACTCATCAATTAAATAAAAAGAAAATCTTACGATTGATGAAAGTCGAGAGTAGAAACCGATAGACAAGCTTGAATCCAAAATAAATAGCAAAATCCGAAATCGAAACGTGTTCTCCGTCCAAATTAGATGATAGGAAAGTGAAAAGACCCAATTCTTATTTAATCTAAGGAACTAAAATAAAACCTAGGCTGCTGGGAATCAATTCACGAGTTCACAAACTCAGATTTTGAAAATCTGCCAACGCGCACTTCGCGGCCGCGGATAAGCCCGCGGGCCGCGGCAAAGATCGGCTCCGCGGCTGCGAATCGTCCGAGGCCGCGGGTTTTAAGCTCTGAAGTTCCGGGGCTTCCTGGGAGGTTCGGTCGTCGCGGCCGCGGTGGAGGGGGAAGCTCGCGGCCGCGGAAGGAGAAAAGTCTAGGCACCGTAAAAATTTGCAACAGCGGAGTCGCGCTGTGAGGGAGCTTCGCGGCGTGAAAGGAGTTGGTCCCGCGGCGTGGAGCGCTGGCACGGCGTGATGGGGAGAGATCTGGGCGAGTTCTGGTCGAGAGCTTCACGGCGCGGCGGGAGTACACGGTGCGACGGGTCTCTTCTTCACGGCGTGGCTGGAGCGATTTTGGGCAGCCGCTTCACGGCGAGGCGATGATTGAGCGGCACGGGAGGAAGTGGTGTAACGGCCCAATTGGCTCTCGGAGATCGAACACAAAGTTACAGGGGCTGCCAGACACGGGTTCCTGTTCAAGGTCTCCTTCACGGTGAGCCGTGTTTAACAGGGAAAGCTCGTGGTGGCGCGCGACTGCCAACGGGAGGAGGATGATGGGTGCTTCTGGTCGCATTTGTCGTCCGCTGGTCGCGAAGGGGAGGCTCGGCGGGACTGCTGTTTACGTCGGAGATGGCAAAAGGAAGGATCACCGGGATGCAGGGACTTCAAAGGTGATGATGAACGCGATGAAGGTTGTCCTCGGGGCGACGTGCAGCAGCAACGGGTTGCTTGCTGTGATGCGGGGTGGCCGGGAGTAGTGATGATGAGATGGTGATGATGAATGTATGTGGTAGTTCC